TGTGCGAATTACAAAGTTACAAATGTCAGCGTTCCTCTTCTTTCAATGTTTGCCTTTTATTATGTGTGTTTTTAGATACTTTGTAATCATTCATTGCGGTGATGGCTTCTGTCTGTGTCATGCCAATCTCTGGAACAATCCCGAAGTGATAGTTTGTATCAGTCTGGAGTAATAGTGTGTGCATCTTCACCGGCCTTCATGTATCTGCATATATCTATAAATGTATCTAGAAGCGATGCACCGATACCGGTATTATAGTACCGAGTACGAGTACCAATACTTTTTTTCCCGGTACTCGCCGATACCAATTACCGTGTAATGACTCGCCACCTGGCTCCCTGATTAGCCGGGCAGCGTGTAAAGACTCGCCAGCCGGCTTCCTGATTAGCCGGGAAGCCTGGCAGCGTGTAAAGACTCGCCAGCCGGCTTCCTGATTAGCCGGGAAGCCTGGCAGCGTGTAAAGACTCGCCAGCCGGCTTCCTGATTAGCCGGGAAGCCTGGCAGCGTGTAAAGACTCGCCAGCCGGCTTCCTGATTAACAAGAAAGCCGTCCCATACGAATCCCCATAATAATAATTTAAAAATCCAGCAGTGCGGATCTCTGTCCCCTCTCACCTCGGCATGTCCAGCCTGTCACCCCCGGGGCCTCTCCAGCCAGTATTTAATTCCTATACTCCTCAGCGCCATCTAGTAGCCATTATGCGGTATTACAGCGGACCTGAAAAGATAATATACTAAGAACATTTGTTTTTGCCTCTATTCACACAGAAAAAATGCCTTTTGCACTCTGGCAGAGAAGACCTTGGCCACCCATGTGGTAGTGTCACAGGGGTAAGGAAGAGGAGTTCTTTACTCACTGGAACAAGTAGGTTAAAAAAAAAAAAAACCTGCAGTGGTGATTAAATACCACCAAAATAAAGCTCTATCTGTCCCCAAAAAATGGTGTAAAATTCATTTCAGTACAGCGTTGCATGACGGAATAAATGTCAGTCAAAGTATCCTCCGGTACCCAGCCGGAGCCATCTTGCTGGCCAATCATAGAAGCCGGGTGCCGTGTAATGACGCGGCGCCCTGCTTTCTGATTGGTCGGGAGGCCGGCTCCATGCTCCCTCGTCATCCCCTTAACCACTTGCTGACCGCGGTGTTACACCCCCTTCCTGAAATGAATTTTACACCATTTGTTGGGGACAGATAGAGCTTTATTTTGGTGGTATTTAATCACCACTGCAGGGTTTTTATTTTAACCTACTTGTTCCAGTGAGTAAAGAACTCCTCTTCCTTACCCCTGTGACACTACCACATGGGTGGCCAAGGTCTTCTCTGCCAGAGTGCAAAAGGCATGTTCTTAGTATATTATCTTTTCAGGTCCGCTGTAATGCCGCATAATGGCTACTAGATGGCGCTGAGGAGTATAGGAATTAAATACTTATTTCTTAATCTCCTCAGCTCTATCTAGTGGTCATAATGCAGTATTACATTAGGTGTCTTTGTGTTTGTACACACACCTCCTCAGTAGTAGTAGTAGTAGTAGTAGTGGTCTTGTCCTCCCTCAGTAGTAGTAGAGGTGTTGTCCTCTCTCAGTAGTAGTAGAGGTGTTGTCCTCTCTCAGTAGCAGTAGTGGTGTTGTCCCCTCTCAGTAGTAGTAGAGGTGTTGTCCTCTCTCAGTAGTAGTAGTGGTGGTGTTGTCCTCCCTCAGTAGTAGTGGTGTTGTTGCCCTCCCTCAGTAGTAGTAGTGGTGTTGTCCTCCCTCAGTAGTAGTAGTGGTGTTGTCCTCTCTCAGTAGTAGTATTGGTGTTGTCCTCCCTCAGTAGTAGTAGTGGTGTTGTCCTCTCACAGTAGTAGTATTGGTGTTGTCCTCCCTCAGTAGTAGTAGTGGTGTTGTCCTCCCTCAGTAGTAGTATTGGTGTTGTCCTCCCTCAGTAGTAGTAGTGGTGTTGTCCTCCCTCAGTAGTAGTGGTGTTGTCCTCCCTCAGTAGTAGTGGTGTTGTCCTCTCTCAGGATTAGTAGTGGTGTTGTCCTCCCTCAGTAGTAGTAGTGGTGTTGTCCTCCCTCAGTAGTAGTGGTGTTGTCCTCTCTCAGTAGTAGTAGTGGTGTTGTCCTCCCTCAGGAGTAGTAGTGGTGTTGTCCTCTCACAGTAGTAGTATTGGTGTTGTCCTCCCTCAGTAGTAGTAGTGGTGTTGTCCTCCCTCAGTAGTAGTAGAGGTGTTGTCCTCCCTCAGTAGTAGTAGTGGTGTTCTCCTCTCTTAGGATTAGTAGTGGTGTTGTCCTCTCTCAGTAGTAGTAGTGGTGTTCTCCTCTCTTAGGAGTAGTAGTGGTGTTGTCCTCTCTCAGTAGTAGTAGTGGTGTTGTCCTCCCTCAGTAGTAGTAGTGGTGTTGTCTCTCAGGATTAGTAGTGTTGTTCTCCTCTCTTAGGATTAGTAGTGGTGTTGTCCTCTCTCAGTAGTAGTAGTGGTGTTGTCCTCCCTCAGTAGTAGTAGTGGTGTTGTCCTCCCTCAGTAGTAGTGGTGTTGTCCTCTCTCAGGATTAGTAGTGTTGTTCTCCTCTCTTAGGATTAGTAGTGGTGTTGTCCTCCTTCAGTAGTAGTAGTGGTGTTGTCCTCCCTCAGTAGTAATAGTGGTGTTGCCCTTCCTCAGTAGTAGTAGTAGTAGTGGTGTTGCCCTCCCTCAGTAGTAGTAGTAGTAGTGGTGTTGTCCTCCCTCAGTAGCAGTAGTGGTGTTGTCCTCTCTCAGTAGCAGTAGTGATGTTGTCCTCCCTCAGTAGCAGTAGTGGTCCTGTCCTCCCTCAGTAGTAGTAGTAGTAGTGGTGTTGTCCTCCCTCAGTAGTAGTAGTGGTGTTGTCCTCCCTCAGTAGTAGTGGTGTTGTTGCCCTCCCTCAGTAGCAGTAGTGGTGCTGTCCCCTCTCAGTAGTAGTAGTGGTGTTGTCCCCTCTCAGTAGTAGTATTGGTGTTGTCCCCTCTCAGTAGTAGTATTGGTGTTGTCCTCCCTCAGTAGTAGTAGTGGTGTTGTCCTCCCTCAGTAGCAGTGGTGGTGTTGTCCTCTCTAAGTAGTAGTAGTAGTAGTGTTGCCCTCCCTCAGTAGTAGTAGTAGTGGTGTTGTCCCCTCTCAGTAGTAGTAGTAGTAGTAGTGGTGTTGTCCTCCCTCAGTAGTAGTAGGGATGTTGGTGTCCCCTCAGTAGTAGTAGGGATGTTGGTATCCTCTCAGTAGTAGTAGTATTAGTGAGTAGTGGAGTGATGTGATGGTGTAGGTATATACAGTAGTGTGTCCCTTCAGCGTGTCTTTGTGTTTGTACACACTATCCCTCAGTAGTAGTAATGTTGGTATCCTCTCAGTAGTATTAGTCAGTAGTATTAGCAGTAGTGGAGATGTTGGTGTCCCCTCAGTGGTAGTAGGGATGTTGGTGTCCCCTCAGTAGTAGTAGTAGGGATGTTGGTGTCCCTTCAGTAGTAGGTACGTTGGTGTCCCCTCAGTAGTATTAGGGATGTTGGTATCCTCTCAGTAGCAGTAGTATTAGTGAGTAGTGGAGTGATATGTTGGTGTCCCCTCAGTAGTAGTAGTAGGGATGTTGGTATCCTCTCAGTAGTAGTAGTATTAGTGAGAAGTAGAGTGATGTGTCGGGTGTCCCCTCAGCGTGTCTTTGTGTTTGTACACACTATCCCTCAGTAGTAGATGTGGGGATGTTGATGTCCCCTCAGTAGTAGTAGTAGGGATGTTGGTGTCCCCTCAGTAGTAGTAGTAGGGTTGTTGATGTCCCCTCAGTAGTAGTAGTATTAGTGAGTAGTGGAGTGATGTGTTGGTGTCCCCTCAGCGTGTCTTTGTGTTTGTACACACACTCCCGGAGCCGTAGGCCTTCCCTCCATTGTTCCTGATTGGTTGCTGTGCAGTGAGTGAGGCGCTCGGCTGGGACACACCAATGTCAGCCATTTTTCAATTGTGTGTTGCAGCCAGCAGCAGCCGCCTCTGCCCTCTCTCCAGCTAGCGGGGAAAAAACAAAGCGCCCCCCTCAATGTCCCCTGCTCCCCAGTTGTTTCCGAGCTTCACCATCTTGTCTTCCTCCCTCCGGTCACCATATTTCCTGACTGAGCTCTCAGGACACAGGCTGCCATTGAGGAGAGGGGAGAGTTGGGGGGGGGCACTTTATGGGGTGGTAGGGTAAAGATCCCTCTTACCCCCCATTATTTGCCCCTCTGCCCCCCTTCCCAGCTGTTGGGGGGAGGGCTCCTGGTGCACGTTGGGCTCTCTGCTGCAGTGTGTGCAGATTGTTACAATGTAACAACATTGAGAACGTGGAGACACTTCCAGGCAGGCGCCTGGGAATCCCATTCCCCCCAACACCTCCTGTGCATGGATCCCTCAATACACAAGCACAGGGGGCCCCCAAAAAAACTTTACTCATGTGCCCCCCAGCTCTTATTTGGGGGGTTTCTAACCACCTGGATGATCTCATAGCTGCTGGGACCTGCCTGTACTGAGAAGGGGGAGGGGTGACCAGAGAGTGGTAGTTGGTTGGAGTTTGCCCAGTGTGCCCATTTCCAGAGCTGCAGATGGCCCTGTGTTGTGGGATCAGAGGGGCCCCCCCAGAGCTTTGTCCCGGCACTCGCCTCTATTTATCTCATATCACTTTGTACTGGAGTTGGATTATTTGATTGTTTTGCTATATAACATTGCATGCAAATCTAAAGGCAGAGACTGATGATCAGGGGATCCCCCTTCTGTCTCCACGGCCAGCTGGGTTGTTTTTTTGGGGGGATCAGGGCTGTCGGTGCCCCCCTATAATGTGTTTTTTCCCTCCTCCCATGCTAATCAGGAAGTTGGGGAGGAGAGCTGAGCACAGAGCAGCCGGCTAGCGCCACAGTTTGAATATCGGTCATGTTAGGTGAACGGGAGACGTGGAGGAGAGACGGAGAGCGATGCTGGAAAATGGCACTTTATTATTATTCTCATTTTATTTACATTTGTTTCTTTTTTATTTCCTCTCCTCCCTCCCTCCTCGATCGGTGATGGCGGGGAAGCAGGTTTAGGACCGATCCGTTGTCGGCAAGATGGCTCGTACCAAGCAGACGGCCCGTAAATCCACCGGAGGGAAGGCCCCCAGGAAGCAGCTGGCCACCAAGGCGGCGAGGAAGAGCGCGCCCTCTACCGGAGGGGTGAAGAAGCCTCACCGTTACAGGTAAGCCCAGTGCGGGTGTCCGTGCGCATGCGCGGGAGACAATGTAGCCTCTTATTTTTGTTTTGCTCATCAGTCCATGTTTGGGGGTGGAAATGGGGATTTCCAGTAACTGTGAATGTTTTGCAAGGGGTTTTCTGATCCTGATCATGCATTTAATAATAAAAAAAAAAAAAGTTAATAAGTTATGTTTTTTTTTTAACACATTTTTTTGGCATTTTTTTCTTTTATTGATGACTTTATTTAAATGAGCTGGTGACAGTGTTGTCTTGTAATTAATGACATTAACCATTAAAGGAGAAGCAAGCGCATACAATTCAGATAGTTTAAACAAATGAGTGTATCTCTGTCTGTGATGTGTAAAATGCAAAATTACATACTTAGTGTAGTTTTTAATTTTTTTTCGTTTTTTAAATTTTTATTAAATTTATAAATTAAACGGTATTTAGTATTTGCAGTTAGATGTGCTGTTTGTCAGCTCATTCTTTTACTAATGCGAATGAGACTGGGCTTGTTGGAAGTGAGGTTTTTGGGGGCTTATTGCACACAGTTTTGGTTTTTTTTCGGTCCTCCGAAAATTGGCACCGTTCCCATTCGGCTGGGGTTGTGCTGTGTGCTGCTCCAGAGCTGACCGTAGAGGGCAGCAGAGAGCGCCGTCAGCCCATATACACATAGCTGTGGTGGGTTTAACCCTTACCGTGCTGGATGGAAGTAGTCGTAGCAGTGTTTGTGCTTGAGACTGCACACCAAGGTGATTTTTTTGTTTGTTTGTTTCCTTGCTATGTTTATAGTACACAAGTGAGATGTCTGCAGTGTTCTTCCTTTTTTTTTTTTTGCTTTTAGCAAAACTCTTTAAATGATTTTCAGGCCGGTGAACATGGCTCCACTTTACAATGCACTTACAGGGGTGTGAACAAAAAAATCTACTTGTCCAAGTACTAAATTGGGGGCCCTGAGGCCCCTGATATCCAGTGTAGTGTTGACAGTCCTGCCCAGTTTTCCACTGCTTGGCTACAGAACATATACCATTCTGCTCATCTCTATAACATGAGGTCGACTGTAGTCTAGCAGGAGAAATTTCGGCAGGGCTGGTAACCGTGCTTGTGATTTCAGTGCAGCAGAGTGGTCGGCTCTAACAGGAAGATTGGGCCGATTGGATGTTTCTGTGCTTTCAGAGTTATTAAAGTGACACTAAACTCCGGTATTAAACCTTAAAAATGCATTCAAGGACCTTTACCCCCTTTGACTAAAAATCACATCATCATACAGCTTTGCATGCCGATATGAAATCATAGTCCATTACAGGAGTGAGCTTGGAGCAGTGACTACTTTACAACACACACAGGGACCATGGGGAACAAAAGTAGCCACCCTCCAGAAGGAAGGACAGTGTCAGCACCAATTCAGAAATGATTTGAGGATCTACAGCCGAGTGATACACAAATAGCAGACATTTTTTGTTAATAGTTAAGATACTTGAATGTATTTTTAAGATTTAACTCCTGACGTTTAGGTAGGACGCTTTGCAGGATTGCCTGGGCTCAGAGGAAGTGGGTAGAGTAATGCTGATCATCAGAGGACATTTCATGGCAGAAATGAGTACTATGGGGACATTTCTGGATTGCAATTAAATGTCTTAGCAAAAGATTTATTTTTTTTTTTTTTTTTTTTTTTTTTTTATGGGCTGTTTTTAAATTTATCAGATGTTCTGCTATAAATGACAACTGTACTCTCATATATACCTGTGAAGGAAAGGATCAGTAAATAGGGAGATATAAGTTAAATGAAGGGGGCCCCAGTTTTTGGACAGAGCGGCCTGCCCACATCCTGGTCTTGGGATCCTGATACTGGTACGAGAGACCAGTAGGTGGCGGTCTCTGTCAGACTGCACATTATTCACTCTGCAAGTAGCCCAGCACAGTCTTTCTGGTGCATGCTGGTTGTGGGTATGAAATGACAACTTCAGGAGCCGTACCCATTGTAAATGGTAGGACTGGTCAACCTCACTCCACACTGTCTGAAGACAGGGGTTCTCCTCAATAAAATCGCTCTTTGCATTCAGAAAAGAACAATAAAGTTGCATAGGTTGAACTGGGTGGACCTTTGCTCTTTATTCCACCTCACCTGCTATGTTACTATGATTGAATAACATGGACTATCGGGTAGGAAGCAAATACAGACTTTTGCTTCCTAAAGTCCAAGGCTGGTCTGTCTGCTCCCAATCAGGTCATCAAAGAGCAACTGCATCCATTTTGAAAGTGAATGACCTGCCTAAAGCTGGCCATACACCTGTCAATTTCTTTCTTTTCAAACCGCGGGCTGAACGGAAGAATTTTGACGCGGTTTCTCCATCAACACAGCTCTTTTGATCAGCTGATTGAGGAATGCCGGCCGTAATGGAGCCAACAGTCCCACACACAGGCAGAAATGGGCACCTTTAGACTGATTGAGCTTTGAAGCACCCCTGGCAGTGTTATAGTTTTCCTGTTACTATCACTTTTGCTTGACTGCTGGATCTTCGTGTACACCTGGAGGATAATAAAAGTAACTTTAAGGTGTATGTTTAAGTCTAACAAAGAACTTCTTATTTGGTGCCTTTTGATCTGTTAAATTTGCAAAGGATACTATTGTATCTGCGATAAGTGCAACAACAAAAAATTCTGCTGAATTCGTGACTTCCTGTGCTGCACTTGTTTTATCAGTTAACATGTTTTGTAGTCCACAGACAGAACTGTAAACCATGTTATTGGAGATCAAAGTTTGGCAGAGTTGTCCCAACACATTCCTTTTCCTAAGGTGACCACACTGCTATAGTATAGATATAGTATGGTGAGTGAGTGTTGTCACCCTAGGACAGGAAGTGACAAATGCTGGGTATGTGAGGGGGTTATGGTCGATATGCACATGTCTTCCTTTTTCAAAATTGGAATTAACTTGTTTAAAAATGTTGTTCATGAAATGTGTCTTGACCAGAATGTACATCTTTTCATGTGTACAGGCCGGGTACCGTGGCTCTCCGTGAAATCAGGCGTTACCAGAAGTCCACTGAGTTGCTGATTCGCAAGCTTCCCTTCCAGCGTCTGGTTCGTGAAATCGCTCAGGACTTCAAAACAGATTTGCGCTTTCAGAGCGCTGCTATTGGTGCTTTGCAGGTAACGTTTGACACTGCAGCTTTACTCACATGGGCTCTGTAGATCGAGATGCATAGATCACATACCACTGATCGCTCAGCTCATGATCTTCTCCCTGCACAGAGTGATGATTGTCAGTCAATCACTCCCTGTATGGATTGTTCCCCCAGCTCTGAGTGGAGGGACAGATGAGGGAGGGGGCGGGCACAGCTGGCTCTAGAGAGGCAGAGCCAGCTGTCAATCCTGGCTTCAGCGCGGCTTTGCGCTGTCAGCATATAGTGCGCAGTAGCCTGCTATATGCTGTGTTTTGGGTGACAGGAGGACATAGTAAATGTCCACCTGTGACCCTGAAGAGAACCATCGCCAAAAAAAGGTTTGGCCATAGTTCTTTCAAGGCAAACCTTTCTGTCTGTGCACGCAATGCAGAGCTGCTGTTGGTCACTTGATCTACCCTGATGGGTTAAGGTTATGTGACTTGGAAACTGAGTGACACAGAGCCTGCAGTAGACAAGTGTATGAAGACTTGTACCTCTTGCTTACCCCCCTTCCCTTTTCTCTGATCAACTAAAGCAAACTTATGTTTTTTGCAATTTAGGTCTGAATTGTTGAAGCATGAGGCGACCTGTGCCTAATGCTGCAGAAATGTCTCTATTGCTGATTGCCCGTGATCTCATGCGATGGTTTAGTACACAGTCAGTCTCTGGGGTGTATGAGGGATAGGTGTACTTGTATGCAAATGATCTTGGGACTGCATTGCCTTTTATAAATTCAGTTTACTTCTTACCTTTTTGGATGATTGAAGCCCCCGGGGGAAAATAACACTTAGTGGTGGTAGGAGTCACGTTCTATGTACATGCACTGCTAGGTCTCATTTTGCAAAAAAAAAATTATTTTATGCTTGTCTTCAGTTTTTGGATTCTATTAAAAAGACCCAGGGCTGTTTTGTTCCTGGTTTATATGCAGAAAGTGATCAATACTAAAGTATGATGGGCTGTGCCAGGCTGTAAAGTGGGCATACCAGTGGTCTCTGCTAGCAAAGTAAATACAGGATGTCCTCCAATGCGATTGGCTGGTGGAAGTGAGCTCAATATATAAGCATTAAAGCTGAACTCCAGGCAATGGGATAAATACACAGATTAAATATATGGCAACTGTTTCATCCGCTAAACATTTTTTTAGTTCTGGAGTTACACAGCCCTGCCACACATCACACACTGCCTGTCAGGTCAGTAAAAGTGGCAAATTGATGGGCTCATCTGTCACTTTGCTGTCTCCTCCTATCTCTTGCTAGCACAGGAGCACACTTGATTGGCTCCTTCTGTTGTACAGGGATGCTGATAAAATTTATTGAAAACACATTTTAATCAATGCAGAGCTGCATTCTTTTGTGCCTTATCTGTTTGAAAGCGAAATAAAATTCCTATGTGTCCAGGTGAGCAATTGCCATAATGCGGTGACTGCTTCAGTCTCCATTGGCCACTCCATTTATCACTGACATTTCCACTGCCACTTCTTGTATTTCACAATGCGCACCCTTTAGAAGAAAGATTGATAGGAGCATGGAGGAAGCTATTGTGTTTTTGGCAAAAGCAGACTTTGCTTCTCTCTTGCCAAAAAACTCCTAGACTTTAGTTCCGCTTGAAGGTTTACGTCCTTTTTAGATGGTTGTCTGCTGAGCAGCTGACCCCATCCAGGGCCGGCCTTTAGGTGCCCTGTGCGAGAAAGCTTTACAGCGCCCCTCAGTGGCCACACCCCTGTAACCACACCCATTTTCCCCAATATCCGCACCATTTAACCTCTTGCCGTCCGCCCGTAGTAGAAAAACGGACGGACGGCACTGCAGCATCTGCGGGTTGCCGTCTCCAGACGACAATTTTTTTCTGCTCGCGCGCGCCCCCAGCGGGCACGCACGGGCAGAAAAGACCCGATCAGTGCACACCGGCCCTGACCCCATCACAACCTTTCTCCTCTATTCCTATTCTAGTGACAACTGTAACATTTTGGATTACTCATTGCTTTTTAGTTCCCGTTACAATGGTCACTGTGACCATTGAGAAGGTGAACCTCAAATAAAAGCCAGACAGGGGTTCTAAACTTTCTCCTTTCTGTCCAAAAACTAAAAGGAGATGCTTCATTCTCAGTCAGTACACTTCCTCTGGTTATTTGGGAGGTGTGACACTCATCAGTTGCATACATCAGCTGTCTGTCTCAAGCAAAGCTGTTCAGTGGAATAATTGGTTTTTTAATGAAGCCTGTACAGAACAGATGAGCGTAATAACAAAAATAATTACACGCCGCTTGTTTTTCTTCCACACTGAAGACGGAATGCCGCCTTGTAATTCATTGTTTACTGGAAAATGAATACCATATTTTCCTGGCTTGGGCCGTGCAGTGTTACATTTAAACACATAAAACCTTTGGGGCCTATTTACATTTTTGCATTGCTTTATAGTGACACCAAACTCAGCACTTAAATCTTAAAAATACATTCAAGTGCCTTAACTATTAACAAAAATGTATCTTATTTGTGTATCACTCAGCTGTAGATCCTCAAATCATCTCTGAATTGGTGCTGACACCGTCCTTCCTTCTGGAGGGTGGCTACTCTTGTTCCCCATGCTCCCTGTGTGTGCTGTAAAGTAGCCACCGCTCCAAGCTAGCTCCCGTGATGGACTACAGTTTACTAATTTGTATTGAGATTGTGCTCCAGGCTGCCAAACCAGGAACTGTACGCAGGATTATTTTGGTTCTTTTGTCCATTATACACCTCTCCTAGCACTCATCAAGCACTGATGAAGGGGTGCCCTTTGCAAACCCCTGAAACACTTTGGCTTACTCGGTACCCCAGTAATATTAATTCTGGACTCTAAAATTGTGAGCAATCCTTTTTTTTCCCCCATAATCCTAAATGATAGAACCACCAGGGAAATCTAAAGCTTTGAATTATGCATTCATGAAATCTTCATAAATGACAGACTTTGAAGGACCCTTTAGAACTGATAATACCTAATAAAAATGTGTTACTATTCGACTTCTCTACCTTGCTGCAGACAGACAATAGGAACAATTCACAAAGCTAACTCTCCAGAATGAGGATTCTTATTTTTGAAGAAAGTCAGTTATTTTCCAGATGTAACAACTTGTTTTCATGGCTGAAATTCTAAGTTCCTATCCCTGTGTCAAAGTGTACCTATACCAGCCCTTCTCAGCACTTTAAACATGGAGGAATCTGTACAAAAAACTTTAATGTCTCAATAAACCTTTGAATCTGCAGTTTATCTACAGCTCAGAGTTCATTAGTGTAATCAATATAGGAGTAAATAGGAGCCATATTTGGCACCCAAGGCTGCTCTATATGACTTTTCTTCTTCTTTTTTTTTCCAGTAATAAAAGAGAACAAATAATAATGGCTAGAAAAGAAATGCAGACAGTGAGATTTGTAGTGCTTCACATTGGTGGTCAGTGGAAAAGTGCTGCCTTACATTTATGGTCAGTGGAGTGCCCCTTTCCGTTGGAAGAATGCCCCCGTAACAGATGGGTAAATAGTTAATTGTCATTCTTTGGTTATCTTGGAGTCAGAAATTGCTCATGGAACTCCTAGCAAATTCTGGGGGAACCCTGGCTGAGAGAGGCTGATCTATAATCAAACATTTTCATGGTGGCCTTTACAGCCTAGGGGTTTCCCTTCCACTGTGCGAAACTAGCACAGTGTGTGCCACTGCCGGCATCTCTCAATCAGCTGATCGAAAAAGTCGGTCGGAAAATCTTCGTGCAACCAGAGCCGGCAGCCAAGGAGCTGCCGGCCCTGGTCGGGTAATACAATGCAAACAGCGGTGATTCCTCAATCGACACACTCGTAGTGTTGATGGAGGAATCTACTCTATTTTGTTTGTTCAGCCCGCGGGTTGAACAGGAAAAATAGAGCAGTGTATGGCCAGCTTTACACTGGTTGTTATTCTTGGTCTGTGAGGGAAAGAGAATAACGGCACATACACCTATTCCTAAAAGGCAAGACCCTGCAGTATTTTGTCGCTGTTAAAGTGTATACCATTTTGATTTTTGCAGCTCGCTGTTAGCTGTTTATGAACATGTATGTTATACTATCTGATTCCTTCACGTTCAATGTGACCCTGACCTGATCTTTCTGTCTTTGTAGGAGGCCAGCGAAGCCTACCTGGTGGGACTGTTCGAGGACACCAACTTGTGTGCTATCCACGCCAAACGCGTCACAATTATGCCAAAAGACATCCAGCTAGCACGCCGCATCCGCGGAGAGCGTGCTTAAAATAAAATAAAAATAATTCCTATCTCAAGATAAACATTGTCATCTTCAAACCCGAAAAGAAAAAAATAAATCTCTTCTTCCGTGTAATTGGTAGTTTGAGCGTTTAGATATATTTTTTTTTCTTCATGGGGTTAAAGGTACCTAAATATATGGTTGTGAATGGAAAATGTAGGGGGACAGGTTCAAGTGTGCTAAATTTCTTCAATTTTCATACGTGCGTGATTTTACATGAAAGGGTCAGTCCACCCAAAACAGATATTCCCTTTATGAACAGGTGCTGGTGGCTTCTGTAACCTACTTAACGTCTTGTACGCTTCACAGGCTACGGTGGTGTCATCCTGCCTCCGTACCCCATGGTCATGCCTCAGCAAAAAAAAAAAGTCTTAATCCTCCTGCTGCATTCCCTCTAATGTAATTGTAAAGGGAAACTAATTAGGAATAACCTCTATTTGTGCATATTTGGCATTTTTTGAAGAATACAGTGAAATCTTTTCTGAAGGATCTCCTTCTGATCAAAGTAAACAACTGAAATGAGAGGGATCTATTTGAATCATGGCATGGTCACTAATGACTACTAGGTTGTATGCAATCAAGATGTTGTCATAAGTCGGCTCCATTTCCTGCTACAGACTAAAATATGTATAGAATTAATTTTTTTCTCTCCCAAATAAAACATTGAAGACAGGAAAACTAGCCATTTTATATATTTATTAGCCTCGTGGCAGGTGGACAGACATGGGAACTCTGAGATCCCCCCTCTGAGCTACAAGAAGCTTGTGGGTGACCCGACCCGCCGGAGCCTCTCCCGAAACGGAATGTCCGTTTTGGGTTCACTGGCATTATGTATGTAAAGTGTACCTGTCACATCGCACAAAGGAAGGAGCTATGTTGTAGCCCAAGCCATCATCTAGTCTCAATAGGAACTAGCACAGTTATTGGAGGCTCTTGATACCTGCAACTCCTTGTCAGTTTAAAAGGGAATATGTCACTAGCCAGGTAATCCGGCCTCCAGGAGGCTGTTTTCTATCTTTTTTTATTTTTGAAGCAACAATTCCTGTCTCCTGGTGAGCACGTTAGTCCCTGGCACACCGACCCTCGGGTCACTGAGCTCCAGGTGCCCAATTTATAGAAGTTGGGTGGCGCCACTTCCACATAAGAGCCTTGACTGAGCCAATATGATGGCAAGTGATACGTTTCCTTCGAGGGCTCACAAAATGGCAGGCAGTCCTGTGCATGTGACGGGAGGTACGCTTCAAAATCAACGACTACAACAAAAACTTTATTCAGCGAGTTGAAATAAAAAACACCTCAAACTTTATAATAAAAATATAAATAGACCTGTTTTAAAATCATTTTTTTCCTGGAAAATGCCAGCATTTGGATTTTTTATTTTTAAATAAGTCAATTTCTTATTGATGGCAACTAAATGTTTGTAGCATTTTTACCAAATGGTAAATTCCATCCATTCACTCTATTATTTTATTTTTTTCTAACTGAGTTGTCCTGCATTCAGATACATGTTTTTAATGTTGTCTGTCTTCTGTGCTGTTCTGTAAGTTTGCTATTAAAAGACATTAAACAACGTTGATTTGAGGCTTTTTCTTTAAAGCTGGAGTGTAAAGATAGAAAAGTATGGGGGTGGGCATCTGAAGTGTACCTGACTTGTGTAACCAGTTGAAGCAGCTATACCAGGGGTAGTCAACCTTGGCACGCCAGCCCTTGTGGAACTACAAGTCCCCTGAGCACTGCATGAATGGACAGCCACAGGCATGACTCAGAGGTATGATAAGATTTTAAGTTAAAACGTAGCTGGAGTGCCGAGTTTACCTACCTCTGAGCTATAGAGTTAGGTGACCAATACTGTGCCTGGTAGAAATCTAGGCTAGCCATACTGTAGCTGGTACAGTGAATGATCAAATGGTAGCTTAACCTCCTTGGCGGTATTCCTGAGTGTGGTTCGGGGTCAATTTTCATTACCAAAAGCGGTAACCCCGAGCCACACTCGGGATTACACAGCGCCACACTTACCTTGTCCACGATCCCCGCGGTGTCCTCCAGCCGGGTTCCGTCCCTTGCAAGCGTACGCGTCGCAGGGGGGGGGCGAAACCGGGGGCAAATTTAAACGTAAAAAAAAAGACCGCCAGGGAGGTAAAAGCAGAACTGTTCTTAACCCTTGCAGTGGGGCTACCTCTGCGCTGCAAGGGTTGAGTGCTCGTTTTTGTCTAGGTGCTAAAATAAGTTCTACTCACCCGATCCTTGGAGCCGGCTTGCTCTTACCCCGATTTTCTTGAGCCCCTAAGGTCCTGTTAGTCTTATACAGTGCATAAGACGTGAGGACGCAGAGGGACAGACTGATTGGAACGAGCACTTAACCCTTTCTGTGTGGATTATCCCCATTGCAAGGTTTTTGTGTTTTGTTTTTTTTCCCCCGGAGTTCTTTTTTAATGAGGTTATCATATTAGTAATAAGATTATGAATGTTTCTTAAGACAAAAATCCCCTTGTTTCCAACCTTCCTTATCTGCAGATCAAATGGTATAATGAAAGTAACATCCTTATCCTAAGACTTCTCACACAGTATGCAGGACATGACACTCTTTGCTCATTCTATCTGTAGGGACTCTATATGAGGTGATAATTGGATACACAGATGGTCATTTTGTCTTTAACAGACATTTTCCTACAGCATGTGTGTTGTCTTAGCACCTTTGGGTGCCATTGATAGTGAATGGTGCTGCAAAGCATGCAAATGTGCGTTGCTAAGAGTTACCGCAATGCAAAGATGTAAACGTGCCTTAAATGGCCCAGATACGAAATGCAGATTTGGGTTCAATCTGGAAACAGCAAGAAAGAAAACTGATGCCGCTTAGGTTTCTGGCCCGAAACCAGTCTCCTCAATCACCTCCGACTCCACATCTTCGCTTAACTGGTTTCAACAAGATGCATGAGGTAAGGAAGAGAACTGGGTTTATTTTATAATGCACAAAACTGCCATCAGACCGCCTTGATGAGTTTCACACTGCAGCAATTAATCAAGAAGACTCGTAAGAGCTTTATGATTAAGATCTCTGTTTTGTGTGTTATTAAAACGGTAATAAACTCTCAAACTTTTTTTTTTTTTTAGTATTGAATCCAGATGAAACTAGTAGACATGCATTTGGATTCGGCGGAACGAAAATCAGTTCATTTGGCGGTTCGTCCGAAATAACACATTTAATATATGCCCGAATATACTAAAATGATATTCTGGCATACATTCATTCGTTTTGAGAACACGCCAGCGGCCCTATTGGACACCAGCGTGTTCTGCGCATGCCTACCGCCATCTTGGAGGTGGCGCGTGTGATGTCACATGCCAGTGACGTCACGCGCTGAACGAGTGGCAAGCGATACGGCCACCAGCGCGTTCTGCGGATGCACGCTGCCATTTTGGAGTAGATCTAGGTATACACCAAGATGGCGGTGTTCGGACACGAGGGTGCCGCCATCTTGGTGTATACCAAAATCTACTCCAAAATGGTGGCGCGCAGCCGATATGGCCGCCGCTCGTTGTGCGGTTTCGGATTCGGAGGCTCATTGCCTCCAAACCTGAAACAACATAAAGATTTGTTTCCTTTGACGAAACTAATGAAAATTTGGATTTGGGAGCATCTAGATGCGTTGGGATTCGGATGTGTCCGAATTTCGGAAAATTTGTATGAATTCTGATTCAGAACAAAATGAATCGCACATGTAGATGAAACAAATCTGCATGTGCTGCCATGCGGGGACCTGAATGCAGTGCACACATTGTACATTCCACATAACATTAAGAAAAACACAATACAGCGCACACTGCCAGAGCGGCCATAATGCACTAGCTTGTCTGCTAAAACCCAACAGTTTAGAGGACAGGCTAGTGTGAATGGGCCCCTAAAGCCTGGTGGCTCCTTCTGCTGGCCCTTCCCCTCCCATTTATGTAGTTCAGGGGATTGCAGAAAACTGATAGGAAAAAAAAATGAATTCGGGTATTCTCACTAGTTGGTTTTAAAATATCTTTAACTTTAATGAAATGTTAACACATAAGTGGGTTACATTGTGGTCTTTTTATCCATCTGGAGTTCAGCTTTAAGCAAACCCTTTACTCCGCTCCTATCCAGGTCAATGAACATCTCACGCTTCAAGCACCAGCAACACATGCTGAGTGCCCCCTTCTGGAGCTCCTGTGTACCAAGCCTTGCTCCTCCTGGACTAAACGACACCAGCGAATTTACAATTCATGACAGTGTGAGATTAAAGGGAACTTGTCAATGCAATCTAAGGCCCCATTCACACTGAGCGATTCGTGTTTTGTCGCGCAAATGCTTGCATTGAGCAAGCTAGAATCGCGGCAAAATCCGCTCCAAAAAGGGTCCTGCTGTAGCGACACGCGACAGCGAAGGACAGAGCCCCATTGCCATGCATTGGAGAGCGATATCGCGCGGTAAATAGCCGCGATATGGCGGGATTTACCGCGCGATAAATCGCTCAGTGTGAATGGGGCCTAAGGGCTTGTTGAGAGTGATGCATACGCAGGGGTTACCTGCAGCGTCAACCACAACTACAAAATGTGCAGAGATGAAGATAGGTGTGGATGCGCAAACTGTTGGGACTAAATAAATCCTGTATTATAATAATAATATGATAAATATTAGGGATGCCAAGTATTTGGGCGAGTACTCATACTCCCCCAAAAGCTCCGATGCCTAGCCCGGTATCAGGAAGCCGGGCAGCGAGTCATTACAAGTGACGAGGGAGCATGGAGCCGACTTCCCGGCCAATCAGGAAGCCGGGCAGCGTGTTATGACGCGGCGCCTGGCTTCCTGATTGACCGGGAATCCAGCTTTATGCTCTCTTGTCACCTCATGACGAGGGAGCATGGCGCCGGCTTCCCGGCCAATCAGGAAGCCAGGCGGCGCATCATTACACAGCCCGGCTTCCTGATTGGGCAGAAAGCCGGCTCCATGCTTTCTTGTCACCTAGTGACGAGACGCTTGGGGACGGCTTCCCTGCTGATCGGGAGGCTGGGTGGCGAGTCTTT